ATCGAACCGAACCGAACCGTGAATTTTGTGTATCGTTGCACCCCTACCATTTAACTACTTTGCCTGGTATTTGTATGTAATTTCATATGTGCAAGATTGGTGTTCACGTTTTGAATGACTGACTGTGTCATAAAGGCAGTGGATGTAAATCACAGTCAGAGTGTATGTGCATTGTGCTAAATAGGTCAGCCCATGCAGGGTATTTGCACAGACACAGACAGAGAGGTGCTTCAGGCAGGACTTGCTCCTCTCACAATAGACCCTTCTGCTTTCTATGCAATAAAAAGACATTAGATGCACTCGTGAGTACCAACACACAAAAAAGTACTATTAATATTACTAATAACTGCCAACTTGGGACAGTTTTATAACATTCTCCACATGAGAAATAACATCAAATTTATCTTCTGTTAAGGGTTTTCAATAAAGACACACACACACACACACACACACACACACAGGTTGAACCTAGTGTGGTCTGATCATGTGATATGTGTCCTATCAGTTCATAGGCTGGTTGCTCTGTTCTGCTCCACAGGCCACAACATAATAGGCAGAGTGCATCAATCTTTAACGTGACATTTAGCACAGACAAACTACACACACACACACACACACACACACACACACACACACACACACACAGTGGATGTTACTTAAGTTACTGATTACATGTAAATGCTGATAGGAGTATGTTTGTAATCCTTCAAAGGATCCTTCACTTTGCCTCCTCCATTTCTCTCGCTCTCTCGCCGTGCCTTGTGTCCTTCACGTGACCTTTTATTACCTTTTCTCTCGTAGCCTGTATCTTTAAATGATAACATCCATGTAACTTTCACTGAGTCCTCTGCCACGATCATTTTTTTTATGTCATGCTGTAATTTTACTGGATGTAAGAAGCACAATTAAACGACAAACACGGCACTTGAGGGAAATGACTGCTTCTTCTTCCTCTCTACCCCACCCACTCGCTCTCTCTCTCTTCCTACCTACACATGCACTCAGCATAAGATAGACCCAGTAATGGCGATTGACTGTAATAGGCGGGGTATGATTGCATGAATAAACAGTAGTGTGTATGTGTTTAAGTTCACGTGTTGTGTTTAAAGCGGTGTAGCAGCTACTAATGACTCATGTATTCATCTGGTCTCAGTAAATCAGGGATCTGCTGACGCAAACACAAAAGACAAATATATTTGCTGTGATGATTTGGTGCATCTGTGGGTATCACTACAAACACTTTGTGCCTACAGCCACCAAAGGGATAGGAATCATGCTTAAACTCAGGGTTCCCCCTACTGAGCCGACAGTCTTATCAAACGGGATTTCTAGTTTTTTCCTCGAAATTCACAAAATGCTAAAGTTTACTGTCTGTTGCTTAAAGTTTGAAGCGATTTGCTTTAGTCCAAAGTTACGCAGCAACTTGTGTTCAGCGGTCAACTGCAGGCAGCACGCTTCTCAGGTTGTTAACCATGCAAGCTAGCTATAAGCTATTAGCATTAGCCGGAAACGTCCCAGGTGCTGAGGTTTTGCAGACAGTTGACGGCAACATTAACTTGTCGGCCGTGTTGGATGTGTTTGTAATCCTTCAAAGATGTCTGTAATTAAATAAAGATGTCAATGTAAGATGAAGCAAACGAGGTCCAAGTCGCACTGACCTACAGACCACACAGTTCCCCAACCAGCTGGCAAAACCTCCCTATGATTGCTTTGGCTGCTAGCACACTGCTAACTTTTTCATTAAGCTAACTTTTGGATCAGATTTAGGTTTTTATTTTTGTTATAATGGATTCAGTACTGATATTGATAATGTTTACAGCCTCACAACAAAAACACGTAGAAATAAGCACATGGACGTACTACTGCGCTGAATCGTTGAGCTGGTACTCTCGTGCGCGACTGAAGCACTCCTGGATGCCCGAGTCAGACCACAGACGCATCATGGCGGAGAGCAGCTCAGCAGAGTAAGGCTCCGTGTCCTCCATACGACTGACCACATCGCACACCATCTTAGCATCCGCCTGAAAGAAAACACAGCAGGGAGGCAGCTCCAGGTTAGCGTGAAGAGGCTGTGGCATTAGAAGAGCATCATACTGATTATGAGACGCTGGAGTACAACAGTGTAGCACTGTGTAAACAATGTAATCAAACCATCTTTGTGAGAAATATTTAGAATGTAAAAGTTTCAGACGTAGCACGAAATGTGTACACGTGTAACACGTGTGTCCTTGCAAAGAAAAGCGTCTGGACTTCTTTAAGTTGCTTGAAGACGTTTCACCTCTCATCCAAGAAGCTTCTTCAGTTCTAAGGTCAAATGGTGGAGAGTCCCAGATATAAACCTAGTGGGAGTTTCCCCCCACAGAGGGACAAAAGGACCTCCTGATGATCCTCTAATCGCCTGAGCCGAGGTACTGGGTGTGGGTCCCAATCAGCCAGAGTTTCGGGTGAGCTCATTGTGAAACCTGGCCCCACCCTGTCATGTGATTTCCTGAGATCAGATGGCCCAGGATGTGAGTGGGCGTTAAGGCGTCTGGGGAGGGAACTCAAAACTGGATTATAGATGGCAGAGAGTTGGTGTCGTAAACCAACCGATCTACATCGGAGAGACCAAACAGCCACTTCACAAGCGGAACACAGAAGAGCCACCTCCACAGGACAAGACTCAGCAGTCCATCTGCATCTAAAGGTCAAAGGTCACTCTTTCGAGGATGCCAATGTTCACATTTTGGACAGAGAGGACAGATGGTTTGAAAGAGGAGTGAAAGAAGCATCTATGTCCACTGTGAGCGACCATCTTTGAACAGAGGCGGGGTTTACGACACCAACTCTCTGCCATCTATAATCCAGTTTTGAGATCCCTCCCCAGACGCCTTAACGCCCACTCACATCCTGGGCCATCTGACCTCAGGAAATCACATGATAAGGTGGGGCCAGGTTTCACAATGAGCTCACCCGAAACTCTGGCTGATTGGGACCCACACCCAGTTTCACACCTTGGCTCAGGCGATTAGAGGATCATCAGGGGTCCTTTTGTCCCTCTGTGGGGGGAAACTCCCACTAGGTTTATATCTGGGACTCTCCACCATTTGACCTTAGAACTGAAGAAGCTTCTCGGATGAGAGGTGAAACGTCTTCAAGCAACTTAAAGAAGTCCAGACGCTTTTGTTTCCAAGCTCCTTTGATTAATTAGAGGGCAAGCAGAAATAAAAAAATGTCAAGAATATGACAAGAAGGAAGACAAAACAGAGTGACAGCCATTTCTTCTCTTGGTGCAATGTTTCCACAGGAAGTGATGTAAAAACCAGATTAGCACAAAGCTGCAACAACATACAGACAGTCGACTTCAGACATTTGGACTTTATTGGCTAATAACAGCAAACACGAACAAAAAAGACCTCTTTCAACATTTTAGAGCAGCTGGGAGGGACAGAGCTTTTTTAGCCTGTTTGTTTTTAGCTGCAGAGGCCCAAAGAGGCGGTTGTTGTCGTGCAGCTGTGATCTGCTTCCTTCAGGGCAGAGCCAGCTGATCTGCACTGGCTGCCTCCTGGACAAAGGCGGCAGCTACATCAGCTCCTGGTAACTGATACAGCTGAAGAGGAGTCGCTGTTTGGGGCATGTGATTACAAATGTCAGCGCCGCGCTCCTAGCTTTGGGTTATACCCAAACTTTATTTCAGCTTGCCAATAAGCTCAGAGTAAAGCAGCTCGGAGATCCACAGCGTTTGATCCCAGCCCCCTCCTGGCCTTCGCTCTTTCATTATTGATTTCTTTTCTCTGCACTTACATGATCGTTGTGCCAGGACGCCCAAGCCCTGACCTTTGGACTCCTTTATCAGCAAAAGAAGCCAGTGTGCACCGTGTAATTGTAACAGAGTGACTGCTGTAATGAATGTCTTTTTGTCTTCAACACACACACACGCGCACACACACATTGCTGTCCTAAACAATAACCTGATTGGGTGATAAATTCATATTTGCTGAATGATGATGAAGGTTAAAGGTGAAATGCAAGTGAATGAAATTGAAATATTTGATGGGCGTCGACTTTGTTCAGATAAACTGAGCTCTGATCTGTTACCGTCACGTTTCATTTGCTGCACTTTGTTACATTTTGCAGACCATTTGGTATTTTGCACATGTTGAAATCCTCCCTCGCCTGCTGCCAAAGTCCATACCTACAGCACGACGTCATCGTTGCTAGAAAGCTCTAAACAGGCTCATTGTTCTTGAGCTGGTGATGCAACAGTAAAAGTGGCAACATATTCATCAAAAAACAAAGCTGACTTAATCAAAATCGCCGTGGCTCGGTGATCTCTGCGTCAGCGAGCTTTAGATACGAACGTATATTCTGTGATATCTACGAGTCACTGTCCCCACAGTGAGGAAAAGCACACATTCAACAATGAAAAATAAAATACGAGTGCAGCTGAGTATCCGAGTTATCACTTCATCTACAAGCATCGTTCGATCGCTGGAACATTACGTCACCAGTTTTTAAAGCCGTTCTTCTCTAGACTCAGACAGATGTGACTAACAGATCACAACAGCTGGAAACATGAGCTACTTGAAGTTCAAACTCCCTACAAACACACGATCATCTGAGTGCAGACATGAATCAAACTCATGGATATTTCACTGACGGTCACGCAGGTCTATAGTGCAGCCTGAAAACAGACGCACTTCATTTACTGGATGAGTTCACGTTCGTCCCTTCAGAGTGAAGTTAACACTGTCCAAATTAAACAGATACAGACAAAGGAAGGGACATTTCCTCCTCCTTAATACTTTAATCCTACATTCTTCTGATGTCTTACACTCTCTTCGTTTTCTGTTTTCTGTCTCTGAGTCACTGTAAACCGTAATCTCTCACTGACTCTTTAAAAATAAAGAAATCTTAAGATCACACTGACCTGGATGTACACTTTTAGATCTACAATGTCTTTAACCATTAATATAAGGTTCATTTTATGAGACTTTTATGAGAGCTGTCCATCAAACCGCCATGCTGACTCAACGTGAGACGACCTCGGCCCACAGCGGCTGAATTTGAAAGGTGTGGTGTAGTTGTGGTCAGAGAGCCTAGCAGCTGAGGCAGACTGTATAATGATGGAACTGCTGGGTTTTCACCGTTTAGTCAGAAAGTAAACCAGGAGATGTGTTTTACTACTATTTTAACAGCCTCACAAAACAACCGAGTGAATGTGCTGACCAGTTACTTACAGACGGGTGGTTACATGTTGGGTCCAACTACAACTTTGTAAATCAGATTTATCAGGCTGCAAAAATCACTCGTTGAACTGTGTGAACGCTCTGGCAGCTGTTTGTGTACAGTAGGTAATAGCGACGCATCCTCACTTCAGTTTCTTCACTCCTTTATTGTTGCTCCGTCACTCTGTGGCAGCTCTTCTCTCCTTAAAGCTTTTCTTTAATAAACTTCTTCCCACCTTCATGACATGGACACGACCTGCTCTAGTCTCTGCACCGTGTTATTTCTGTCACCACAGAGCGTACACATGACAAGCGTGTTTCTACTCTACAGATTTGTACTGGTTTGTTTCTATGTATCTGCATGCTTTGAGGAAATATGATGTGCATAAACACAAACACACACTCAGGTGCGTGTGATGTTATTAACCCTAAACCTTGATGATGTAGCTTATTTGCAGCGATGCTTTGCTTCTACTTTATGCTCTTAGCCAGAACCCACCAGGCAGGGATGTAAAATAAACTTCCTGCGTCTGTTAGCTTCAGTATTTTTACATAAACATGAGCTTAAAATGCTCAGCAGTTCAGTTCATAATGTTAGAGTTTTGCCTGACGCTCACTCTGTGTTTCAGTCTTGTAGCTGTCATCAAAGCTCAGACGCTCTGCATCAAAGTAGGCAGTGACCATAGTGGTGGGGTGGGCGGAGACCAAACACATCTAATAATCATTGATTTGATTTGAATTTTCTCAGGTATCCAGAAAATTCAGATGAACTGTTCGACATGTTAGCCGTGTTACATACATATTTATCTTTCAGCTTTTTCCAGGCAGCAAACATGGATTCCACGTATTACTACGGTGAGCTGTAGAAAACCAGCTTAGTCATAACACGCACTCGAGGAATGAGTCATACTTCTACAGCGTCCTTTGTTCAAACAGGGACATGGCTACAGACTGAAGGACACAGTGACCTTTACACCCTCTGAACTCTGTTGGATGTGTACAGACACGCACACACACACACACACACACACACACACACACTCACACACACACACACTCCACATCACCCACACACACTCACTCGCGCCACACCACACACACACACCACCACACACACACGACACCACACACCACACACACTCCAACACACACACACGACACACACACACAACTCAAACACACACACACACGCACACACACACACAACACACACACACACACACACACACACACACACACACAGCCACACACACACACACGACACACACACACACACACACACCACAGACACACACTCACCACACAACCACACACAACTAGTACACACACACACACACCACACACACACACACAGCACACAACACACACAACACACACGCACACACAACACAACACACACACACACAGACACAAAACACCGCACACACACCACACACCTCACACACACGCACACACACACACACACACACACACACACACACACACACACACACACACACACGTGTTGGGGATTTTAGCTACTTTTTTCTCCAGTTAATGACAGCTGATGAACTTGCTTCTTATGCACTCGGGTAGTTTGGGTTACTTTACTCCAAATGCATGTGTGTGTGTCTTTTTATCTATTTACCTGCTGTAAATCCCCACCTAGTCAATGAATAGGCAATCAATGCTGCCATCATCATCACCGTGATCATTCCCCCAACGGCCTGTATCTCAATCTTGTTACCATGTCCCAGCATTCAATAGCCAATCAGCACAGTTCAGCACTTACTGTTGGCCTTTCACTGCTCACTTACTGCCTTTCATCTACAGCC